AACATTTGATACAAGTCTACAATGATAGTTTAACATTAGATACTATTCGTCAATGTTTATTTAACATTTGATACCACTCTACAATGATAGTTTAACATTTAATACTAGTCTTCAATGTTTATTTAACATTTGATACTAGTCTACACTGATAATTCATCATGTAATATAATTCAAGATATGACATCAGTTTACTTTATATCTTTGCTACATAGATGATTCAAATGTGATACTAGTTAATATTTTCATGGTAATAACCTGTATGGAATATTTAATGATCACTATAGGCCTGACAGACGTTTAAGGGAAATGTAACGATATATACATGTGATGGTGTTTGGAGATCAGATGTTGGCAACGTGTTTTGTTTTGTGCTGCGGCAAGAGATAACAGTTCCTGGCAGACAGAATGCTATTCGCTTGATAAATCTAGCTGTCTTTTGGCGAGAATTGTTGATCCGGTAAGTCCCTAAACGCATGTAAACATGTAGCTAGGAGATTAAAACTATTCTGTTCGATTAACTGTGTACATGTTTGGCACTGATTTTTCAAAACATGTATTGTATACTGTATACACCAGATAACTACAAACAGTAAATATATATACTAATTTTAAAGGTATATAAACAATGTAAAAGGTATTAAATACACAAAAAAGACTTCTGCTACTGGATTCTTACGCCAGTTCAATTGACGGCATGTCATTGTCCTCAAATCTAATCGGCTTTAAAATGGTTACATGTATATCAGACTTCCATATGCTTATCTAACGCGTTCTCGATGCCAGCACCCTTGCTCTATCATATCAACGTTGATTAAGCATGTTAAAAACGATCTGCTGTTTTTAGCTGTATGTAGTTATATTTACACACTAATTTAACATGCAGACAAATCCTTATTCTGTGACCAGTTGTCAAAGAGTAACGTGAGGGTACCCGGAATCGAACACAATATATGATTTTGCATATTTACATAACACATTAATGGTATCTATTTGGAATCGAAATTGATAAAGTTTTAAGCAATTGGAAGCAAGCCTTATCTGTGTGCCTCCGATATGTTGCTCATTAATTGTATTGAATAATGAAAACCTTTCCCAACAAATGTTTCAGTTCGACATTATGTCCCAATACATTTCTGGAAAATTGAAAAAGACTGAAACTAAAGACATCCATATTTTCATTATAGTAACACAAGCAGATGTTCCATTAACTAAATATGAAACATGAATATTTTTGTTTCAAAAAACGTTTCGATTAGGGTTCCTCACGTTATGTCACAATTACAATCACTGTCACATTACAGAAATGATAAACTGTTGGACAGGGTATACATATCAATACCTGTTCCCATGGTTAAGCCGGACGTGAAACAGAAGACGACTAACACATGTACGGCATATGAAAATATACACTTTTATTGACATGGCTATGCAGTGGCGGGAGATGAAGTCAAGTTTTATAATGTATTAGTTTTCAAAAGAAAATATTTGCAAAATGTCAACATTCAGTGAAATAAATTCTCTGCTAACACATTTCAGTGGTGTCATTTAAGTTCCATTTCCGGTCCCGACCCATTAAAGCACCGTGACGCACACATGCTGTGTTCAAGTTTGCACATTTCATACAAATCGTTACTCATAGACGTCCTCGAGCATTCCACGAACTCTGGTACGCATACATCAGCATAGCACTCTGGAAAAAACAAAACTAAATTTAACCATTTATACATTTCATATCTATTACACTGGCCTCTTCGTTGGAAAATGTGTTGGATACATCTTTGGTCAGTTGTTGTAAAATTACAAAAGAAGCATTATGTACAAAAGCCGATGTACATTTCTCGATAATGATATGGGTTTGGTATGCCTAATGTTTCATACAAAATTATAGTGTGAATATCATAGAACAAGACTTACTACTAAATTAGGACCTGTTTAACGCTTACTTTGAAATCGATATGAACACCGACTATGTTTCATGCGATCTTATGAAGGGAAATACCAAGCATTACATTACTTACTGTATACAGAGAGGGCCTCCTCACAACCGCTTTCCATTTGCATTGGTGTGATATCGACTGAAAAGAAAATCAAAATATATTAGAGAGATGCTAGTATTGCGAACGTCGACAAAATGTAGAACTATAAACATGTCATTTCCAAAAGGTAAACGATCAGTGTAAACTTCTGTTGATAAAACATCATTAAAACTAAATAATAGCATCTGTAGCTTTTTATATATGTGTATATTCAGGTGTCCCACTCGCCCGATATGAAATACAAGACGGCTATCAATATAACATCCAATGACCTAGGAGTCGCACGTACCACGAACAGTCGCATGGTTACAGTCATGACTTTAACAATAAATCCTTGTTCCTGAGGTTCAAAATTGTTTGCACTTTATTATGACGATATAATTACTTACTCTGTTTCTGTGAAGCTGGTGGTAAATTGTCCATTGACTTTTTACTAAACCAAGCTGTAAAATACGAAACAAAAAATACATTGCTACATGGAACTTATTATATGGTAAATAATGTTATATTGTATAATCACTACCTCAAATATTTGCCAGCATTGCAAACGTTGTGCACAGGAAATCAGGAAGAGTTTTAGTTACTAGGGTTACAAATATAGTACACGGCCCGACGTAAGGAAGTCTTTTAGTTACCAGGGTTACAAATATAGTACCCGGCCCGACGTAAGGAAGTGTTCTAGTTACTAGGGTTACTACCTCAAATATTTGCCAGCATTGCGAACGTTGTGCACAGGAAATCAGGAAGAGTTTTAGTTACTAGGGTGACAAATATAGTACACGGCCCGACGTAAGGAAGAGTTCTAGTTACCAGGGTTACAAATATAGTACCCGGCCCGACGTAAGGAAGTGTTCTAGTTACGAGGGGTAAAAATATAGTACACGACCCGACGTAAGGAAATGTTCTGGTTACTAGGGTAAGAAATATAGTACACGGCCCGACGTAAGAAAGTGATCTAGTTACAAGGGTTACAAATATAGTACACGGCCCGTCGTAACAAAGTGTTCTAGTTACCAGGGTTCAAAAAAAATAGTACACGGCCCGACGTAAGGAAGTCTTTTAGTTACCAGGGTTACAAATATAGTCCACGGTCCGACGTAAGGAAGTGTTCTAGTTGCCAGGGTTACAAATATAGTACACGGCCCGTCGTAACAAAGTGTTGTAGTTACAAGGGTTACAAATATAGTACACGGCCCGACGTAAGGAAGAGTTCTAGTTACCAGGGTTACAAATATAGTACACGGCCCGTCGTAACAAAGTGTTCTAGTTACCAGGGTTCAAAAAAAATAGTACACGGCCCGACGTAAGGAAGTGTCCTAGTTACCAGGGTTACAAATAAAGTACACGGCCCGACGTAAGGAAGTGTTCTAGTAACCAGGGTTACAAATAAAGTACGCGACCCGACGTAAGGAAGTGTTGTAGTTACCAGGGTTACAACTATAGTAAACGGCCCGACGTAAAGAAGTATTCTAGTTACAAAGGTTACAAATATAGTACACTGCCCGACGTAAGGAAGCGTTCTAGTTGCTAGGGTTACACATATATTACACGGCCCGACATAAGGAAGTGTTCTAGTTACAAGGGTTACAAATATAGTACACGGCCGGTCGTAAGGAAGTGTTCTAGTTTCCAGGGTTACACATATAGTACACGGCCCGACGTAAGGAAGTGTTCTAGTTGCTAGGGTTACACATATAGTACACGGCCCGACGTAAGGAAGTTGTCTAGTTACCAGGGTTACAAATATAGTACACGGCCCGACGTAAGGAAGTACACGAGTTACAAGGTTTACAAATATAGTACACGGCCCGACGTAAGGAAGTGTTCTAGTTACCAGGGTTACAAATATAGTACACGGCCCGACGGAAGGAAGTGTTCTAGTTACCAGGGTTCAAAAAAAATAGTACACGGCGCGACTTAAAGAAGTTTTCTAGTTACCAGGGTTACAAATATAGTACACGGAACGACGTAATGAAGTTTTCTAGTTACCAGGGTTACAAATATAGTACACGGTCCGACGAAAGGAAGTGTTCTAGTTACCAGGGTTACAAATATAGTACACGGCCCGTCGTAAGGAAGTGTTCTAGTTACCAGGGTTACAAATATAGTACACGGACCGACGTAATGAAGTTTTCTAGTTACCAGGGTTACAAATATAGTACACGGCCCGACGTAAGGAAGTGTTCTAGTTACCAGGGTTACAAATATAGTACACGGCCCGACGTAAGGAAGTGTTCTAGTTACCAGGGTTACAAATATAGTACACGGCCCGACGTAAGGAAGTGTTCTAGTTACCAGGGTTACAAATATAGTACACGGCCCGACGTAAGGAAGTGTTCTAGTTACCAGGGTTACAAATATAGTACACGGCCCGACGTAAGGAAGTGTTCTAGTTACCAGGGTTACAAATATAGTACACGGCCCGACGTAAGGAAGTGTTCTAGTTACCAGGGTTACAAATATAGTACACGGCCCGACGTAAGGAAGTGTTCTAGTTACCAGGGTTACAAATATAGTACACGGCCCGACGTAAGGAAGTGTTCTAGTTACCAGGGTTACAAATATAGTACACGGCCCGACGTAAGGAAGTGTTCTAGTTACCAGGGTTACAAATATAGTACACGGCCCGACGTAAGGAAGTGTTCTAGTTACCAGGGTTACAAATATAGTACACGGCCCGACGTAAGGAAGTGTTCTAGTTACCAGGGTTACAAATATAGTACACGGCCCGACGTAAGGAAGTGTTCTAGTTACCAGGGTTACAAATATAGTACACGGCCCGACGTAAGGAAGTGTTCTAGTTACCAGGGTTACAAATATAGTACACGGCCCGACGTAAGGAAGTGTTCTAGTTACCAGGGTTACAAATATAGTACACGGCCCGACGTAAGGAAGTGTTCTAGTTACCAGGGTTACAAATATAGTACACGGCCCGACGTAAGGAAGTGTTCTAGTTACCAGGGTTACAAATATAGTACACGGCCCGACGTAAGGAAGTGTTCTAGTTACCAGGGTTACAAATATAGTACACGGCCCGACGTAAGGAAGTGTTCTAGTTACCAGGGTTACAAATATAGTACACGGCCCGACGTAAGGAAGTGTTCTAGTTACCAGGGTTACAAATATAGTACACGGCCCGACGTAAGGAAGTGTTCTAGTTACCAGGGTTACAAATATAGTACACGGCCCGACGTAAGGAAGTGTTCTAGTTACCAGGGTTACAAATATAGTACACGGCCCGACGTAAGGAAGTGTTCTAGTTACCAGGGTTACAAATATAGTACACGGCCCGACGTAAGGAAGTGTTCTAGTTACCAGGGTTACAAATATAGTACACGGCCCGACGTAAGGAAGTGTTCTAGTTACCAGGGTTACAAATATAGTACACGGCCCGACGTAAGGAAGTGTTCTAGTTACCAGGGTTACAAATATAGTACACGGCCCGACGTAAGGAAGTGTTCTAGTTACCAGGGTTACAAATATAGTACACGGCCCGACGTAAGGAAGTGTTCTAGTTACCAGGGTTACAAATATAGTACACGGCCCGACGTAAGGAAGTGTTCTAGTTACCAGGGTTACAAATATAGTACACGGCCCGACGTAAGGAAGTGTTCTAGTTACCAGGGTTACAAATATAGTACACGGCCCGACGTAAGGAAGTGTTCTAGTTACCAGGGTTACAAATATAGTACACGGCCCGACGTAAGGAAGTGTTCTAGTTACCAGGGTTACAAATATAGTACACGGCCCGACGTAAGGAAGTGTTCTAGTTACCAGGGTTACAAATATAGTACACGGCCCGACGTAAGGAAGTGTTCTAGTTACCAGGGTTACAAATATAGTACACGGCCCGACGTAAGGAAGTGTTCTAGTTACCAGGGTTACAAATATAGTACACGGCCCGACGTAAGGAAGTGTTCTAGTTACCAGGGTTACAAATATAGTACACGGCCCGACGTAAGGAAGTGTTCTAGTTACCAGGGTTACAAATATAGTACACGGCCCGACGTAAGGAAGTGTTCTAGTTACCAGGGTTACAAATATAGTACACGGCCCGACGTAAGGAAGTGTTCTAGTTACCAGGGTTACAAATATAGTACACGGCCCGACGTAAGGAAGTGTTCTAGTTACCAGGGTTACAAATATAGTACACGGCCCGACGTAAGGAAGTGTTCTAGTTACCAGGGTTACAAATATAGTACACGGCCCGACGTAAGGAAGTGTTCTAGTTACCAGGGTTACAAATATAGTACACGGCCCGACGTAAGGAAGTGTTCTAGTTACCAGGGTTACAAATATAGTACACGGCCCGACGTAAGGAAGTGTTCTAGTTACCAGGGTTACAAATATAGTACACGGCCCGACGTAAGGAAGTGTTCTAGTTACCAGGGTTACAAATATAGTACACGGCCCGACGTAAGGAAGTGTTCTAGTTACCAGGGTTACAAATATAGTACACGGCCCGACGTAAGGAAGTGTTCTAGTTACCAGGGTTACAAATATAGTACACGGCCCGACGTAAGGAAGTGTTCTAGTTACCAGGGTTACAAATATAGTACACGGCCCGACGTAAGGAAGTGTTCTAGTTACCAGGGTTACAAATATAGTACACGGCCCGACGTAAGGAAGTGTTCTAGTTACCAGGGTTACAAATATAGTACACGGCCCGACGTAAGGAAGTGTTCTAGTTACCAGGGTTACAAATATAGTACACGGCCCGACGTAAGGAAGTGTTCTAGTTACCAGGGTTACAAATATAGTACACGGCCCGACGTAAGGAAGTGTTCTAGTTACCAGGGTTACAAATATAGTACACGGCCCGACGTAAGGAAGTGTTCTAGTTACCAGGGTTACAAATATAGTACACGGCCCGACGTAAGGAAGTGTTCTAGTTACCAGGGTTACAAATATAGTACACGGCCCGACGTAAGGAAGTGTTCTAGTTACCAGGGTTACAAATATAGTACACGGCCCGACGTAAGGAAGTGTTCTAGTTACCAGGGTTACAAATATAGTACACGGCCCGACGTAAGGAAGTGTTCTAGTTACCAGGGTTACAAATATAGTACACGGCCCGACGTAAGGAAGTGTTCTAGTTACCAGGGTTACAAATATAGTACACGGCCCGACGTAAGGAAGTGTTCTAGTTACCAGGGTTACAAATATAGTACACGGCCCGACGTAAGGAAGTGTTCTAGTTACCAGGGTTACAAATATAGTACACGGCCCGACGTAAGGAAGTGTTCTAGTTACCAGGGTTACAAATATAGTACACGGCCCGACGTAAGGAAGTGTTCTAGTTACCAGGGTTACAAATATAGTACACGGCCCGACGTAAGGAAGTGTTCTAGTTACCAGGGTTACAAATATAGTACACGGCCCGACGTAAGGAAGTGTTCTAGTTACCAGGGTTACAAATATAGTACACGGCCCGACGTAAGGAAGTGTTCTAGTTACCAGGGTTACAAATATAGTACACGGCCCGACGTAAGGAAGTGTTCTAGTTACCAGGGTTACAAATATAGTACACGGCCCGACGTAAGGAAGTGTTCTAGTTACCAGGGTTACAAATATAGTACACGGCCCGACGTAAGGAAGTGTTCTAGTTACCAGGGTTACAAATATAGTACACGGCCCGACGTAAGGAAGTGTTCTAGTTACCAGGGTTACAAATATAGTACACGGCCCGACGTAAGGAAGTGTTCTAGTTACCAGGGTTACAAATATAGTACACGGCCCGACGTAAGGAAGTGTTCTAGTTACCAGGGTTACAAATATAGTACACGGCCCGACGTAAGGAAGTGTTCTAGTTACCAGGGTTACAAATATAGTACACGGCCCGACGTAAGGAAGTGTTCTAGTTACCAGGGTTACAAATATAGTACACGGCCCGACGTAAGGAAGTGTTCTAGTTACCAGGGTTACAAATATAGTACACGGCCCGACGTAAGGAAGTGTTCTAGTTACCAGGGTTACAAATATAGTACACGGCCCGACGTAAGGAAGTGTTCTAGTTACCAGGGTTACAAATATAGTACACGGCCCGACGTAAGGAAGTGTTCTAGTTACCAGGGTTACAAATATAGTACACGGCCCGACGTAAGGAAGTGTTCTAGTTACCAGGGTTACAAATATAGTACACGGCCCGACGTAAGGAAGTGTTCTAGTTACCAGGGTTACAAATATAGTACACGGCCCGACGTAAGGAAGTGTTCTAGTTACCAGGGTTACAAATATAGTACACGGCCCGACGTAAGGAAGTGTTCTAGTTACCAGGGTTACAAATATAGTACACGGCCCGACGTAAGGAAGTGTTCTAGTTACCAGGGTTACAAATATAGTACACGGCCCGACGTAAGGAAGTGTTCTAGTTACCAGGGTTACAAATATAGTACACGGCCCGACGTAAGGAAGTGTTCTAGTTACCAGGGTTACAAATATAGTACACGGCCCGACGTAAGGAAGTGTTCTAGTTACCAGGGTTACAAATATAGTACACGGCCCGACGTAAGGAAGTGTTCTAGTTACCAGGGTTACAAATATAGTACACGGCCCGACGTAAGGAAGTGTTCTAGTTACCAGGGTTACAAATATAGTACACGGCCCGACGTAAGGAAGTGTTCTAGTTACCAGGGTTACAAATATAGTACACGGCCCGACGTAAGGAAGTGTTCTAGTTACCAGGGTTACAAATATAGTACACGGCCCGACGTAAGGAAGTGTTCTAGTTACCAGGGTTACAAATATAGTACACGGCCCGACGTAAGGAAGTGTTCTAGTTACCAGGGTTACAAATATAGTACACGGCCCGACGTAAGGAAGTGTTCTAGTTACCAGGGTTACAAATATAGTACACGGCCCGACGTAAGGAAGTGTTCTAGTTACCAGGGTTACAAATATAGTACACGGCCCGACGTAAGGAAGTGTTCTAGTTACCAGGGTTACAAATATAGTACACGGCCCGACGTAAGGAAGTGTTCTAGTTACCAGGGTTACAAATATAGTACACGGCCCGACGTAAGGAAGTGTTCTAGTTACCAGGGTTACAAATATAGTACACGGCCCGACGTAAGGAAGTGTTCTAGTTACCAGGGTTACAAATATAGTACACGGCCCGACGTAAGGAAGTGTTCTAGTTACCAGGGTTACAAATATAGTACACGGCCCGACGTAAGGAAGTGTTCTAGTTACCAGGGTTACAAATATAGTACACGGCCCGACGTAAGGAAGTGTTCTAGTTACCAGGGTTACAAATATAGTACACGGCCCGACGTAAGGAAGTGTTCTAGTTACCAGGGTTACAAATATAGTACACGGCCCGACGTAAGGAAGTGTTCTAGTTACCAGGGTTACAAATATAGTACACGGCCCGACGTAAGGAAGTGTTCTAGTTACCAGGGTTACAAATATAGTACACGGCCCGACGTAAGGAAGTGTTCTAGTTACCAGGGTTACAAATATAGTACACGGCCCGACGTAAGGAAGTGTTCTAGTTACCAGGGTTACAAATATAGTACACGGCCCGACGTAAGGAAGTGTTCTAGTTACCAGGGTTACAAATATAGTACACGGCCCGACGTAAGGAAGTGTTCTAGTTACCAGGGTTACAAATATAGTACACGGCCCGACGTAAGGAAGTGTTCTAGTTACCAGGGTTACAAATATAGTACACGGCCCGACGTAAGGAAGTGTTCTAGTTACCAGGGTTACAAATATAGTACACGGCCCGACGTAAGGAAGTGTTCTAGTTACCAGGGTTACAAATATAGTACACGGCCCGACGTAAGGAAGTGTTCTAGTTACCAGGGTTACAAGTTTAGTACACGGCCCGACGTAAGGAAGTGTTTTAGTTACCAGGGTTACGAATATAGTACACGGCCCGACGTAAGGAAGTGTTCTAGTTACCAGGGTTACAAATGTAGTACACGGCCCGACGTAAAGAAGTGTTCTAGTTACCAGGGTTACAAATATAGTACACGGCCCGACGTAAGGAAGTGTTCTAGTTACCAGGGTTACATGCCTAGTGGACGCTTACTAACTATTCAACAGTGGCTACACCATACAGCATTGCTGTTATTATTACATACAGATAGAATGCTGAATATTCGAACATCCAACAAGGATTTGTATACAAGTTTTAATTGTTTTCTTGAAAAAGCAATCAGGTAGTAAAAGGGGAATGTTATAAAAATGATATATGTCTTTTTTGAAACGCTTGAAGTTAAATAATATCTATATTTGTTCTGATTTCAATTTGGGTTCTATTGTAAACAGAAATCAGTATTCGTGTGAAGGAGGAGCCTACATTCTAATGTAATTCAGTGCAAACTTACAATTCCTTTTGAATATCGTGTTTGGGAAATATTCATCTGTAGAAAGCGACCGACTTTCAGCAAAATCTGAAATAAAAGAATTTCAAATGATCGACCATTCATGTTGGTGTGCAATACCAGCGTCAAATAGTATGAATGATTAAGAAATCGAAGACTACATATGTGCCGTATGATGGTGCAATGATGAAGAAACGTGACGTTTTTATTAAAATTGAATCGAACAAGATAAAAAGATAGTCAAATACCAATTCTCATTAAACTTCAGATTGAGTCAGATTAATGTTAATAGTAAAAGTTCACGTAACACTCAACAGTAAAACCGTTTGACATCTATCAACTTGAATCAGACCCTTTTGATTGAATAACTGGCCTTTTACCCGATTTGTATGTGATAGCTTTTCTGTCGAGTCTGTGACATACTTAGATGCTTACAAAATATACAAATCCAACAATTTACACCTATAGAGACACATTATCATAATTTACACATATATAATCGCCATTACGTTCTGAATTGCCAATTTTGGATTTCTGGTAATAATTATCACGTCTGTATTTTGAATGCGAGGCCAAGGCAGAAATAGAATAAGGTTAGTGTTCCTCAACGATTATCTATTCTTGTTGCAATGTATCCAAAAGATAAATAGATTTATTTGCTGTTTGCTTAGACCATTGCAGTATCTGAAATACCAACCCTCATTGAATAAAACAAATACGAACACCCCGCTAGCATTTATCTATGTTGCTCATTAGAGAATTATAGGTCACTAGTAAGTGTATTGCTGTCACATCAGGGGCAGTGTTATTCACGAACTAAGGTGTTGAGATTTGCTTCAAAATGATAATATAACTTGAGAGATTGTGACGTAGATTATAACCATATTACTATTTAGTATGTAATGAGCTGTTTTTATAATTACCAGATTCTGACACGATTTAAATCACGTAGACCCTTGCATATACCGTGAAGTGTCAGGTTATACGTGACTTACTGTGACTCCATAATTCGATTAATAGACTAATGTACGTACATGTAAATGTATTATCCGATTATATATCATGGCAGCAACCCTGAACCACGATGACTGCTTAAATAGGCAACTGAAAGCTGCAGAGGGCATATTTGAAAGAAATGGAAGTTCCAGTCGGGATAAGTCTCGGTCAATCAGAGCCGCAGCGACCATGACTGATTTGCGATCAAAAAAAGGAAGTGTATTTCAGGAGAAAGTTGTGTTCACGGATCAATTGGAACACCAAAAAACATTGTAAGAGAACTAACTACCTACTTTCATTGTACATTTGTAATCTACGAAATACACAATTCCGTGTGCTCTTTGACACATGCTCATGTGAGACCTAAATAAAAACCTTACAAATCTCATTGAACATTGTAATATTTAGATATTTGTATCATTGTATATCTTGTTTGTTTTATTTAAGATTATGACTTTAATTTTAATATATATGCACCATAATCACGTTCAATTGGTCTGTTAGGGATTATACTGTTTTTTATGTAAAGATTTCTATAAAGATTCAACTCCGAAACAACGCTTCAACGCTAAGTTCTCGAGCGTCAAGTAGCATAGTTATGTGTCTGTTTGTAGTAAGCGTTAAGAGGATTAGCGTAATAAAATAGGGAATCGCCGTCCGAGTACATTAGCTGTCTGTCTACTCCTATAGCCGTATTTTATTTGAAACCAGTTCTCCCTTCTAACCAGTAAGATTCCCCGGCGGTATTGGTCGTTGGCTATCAGCTACAGCGGGATGAGAGATATCACTCTCGTGTTTGATTTGTGAGCGTCTGTACTAACAAGTATATCCCCAACCAAGCCAGTCTAATCCGCTATAGCCCAGTGTTTGATTACAAGATAATCTGACTTAGTTGTTATAGTCATTGACTGGCTAAAATACCATTATTGTGTTTATCATTGACAACTATATGACACATTCTGACGGTTGACATATATGTGAAGACGGACACTGGCTTATTAATCCTGTGAATGTCACCGAAGTCACAGCGGCTCAACGTTCATGTTTTCATATGATCTGTTTGAGAACTTTATAGTTTATCTGATTAAAACTCACTTACTTCTGTTATGATATTGATTAAAGAAGTAATATCAACGGTAACTTTCCAAATAACAATGGATCCATGCAAACGTATGTTTGTAGGGTACACATTACTTATAAATTGGTATATAGGGCAAGGAGTTCTAGCAGTGAAGACAACACGAGGATTGTCAAATTTTCAGGGTAATCCGCTCCTTTATCGAGACACAGAAAATAACACAGAACAACTTACATAAAATAAAAATAAATATACAATGTTCTTTTTAGTCATCAGATATAAATAATTAGATATAATTATTACCAAAAAATAAAGGAGAACATAAGGTTTGGTAAAAATATTTGTTTGCCATTTTTAACAAAAGAAACAACGAAACAAATTCTTTGTCATTTCACGAAGCACGTGTAAATATGTTAAAGCAAATTTGAAATTAAAAAGTAAAAGGAAAACATAAAAGTACTGAAATAGCTTGGCGAGCGAATATGTGTATTAACCATGTTTAGGAAATCTTAACAATATAGTATAAGTAGGCAAGCGTTTCAGATGACATATTTTCCATAGCAGATTCAAGTACGTATTTATATATAAATAAAAGTATCAACGAATCACCCTGTTTTGATTTGTTCGTGAGATATGTATTATGTTTTTAATGTCTCGTTGAAATGCATTCAGGAGGATCCCACTAGAGGCTGTATTTAAGTTACATGTCGTTACACCAGTATACTTATTTGACAAACACAAATTAGATTTGAAAGAGGTAAGCGCAGACAACAATTAAAAAACAAACATGAATTTGTACTTACGTATTTGTAAACTGACTGACAGCGCAATGATCAAAACAGCACTGGTATATCCGGTGTATGTTTGTGTGATATGCATAATTATATTATCTGAAAAAAAGAATAAATAATGATTTGAAACAAAACATTTCAGTTTTAGCAAAATATATATAAAACGATATTTAAGTACAAGCGTTTTATTTTCAGCTAACTTATATGAAATTTAAACGATAAACATATATCACTGTACAGCATGAATGATTATAAGACGTAAAACTTACTTGGCAATTACAATCTAATAAACAATCCGTTCACGAAAGGTGATACTACACTATGTGAGATGATTGATGAAATGACACTGCTATATACACTACAGACTGATATCGATGTTTCCAGTTGTTCTCCGTTCTCAATATGCTACCTGTTCTACAGTCGATTTCATTTTATATTCAGCTATCTGATAATTGAGCGCACGTCATAACCGAAGGCGGTAAATTCCCCCCAATCGTCTACGAACAAAGGCGTTTTTGTGGTACTGTGAGCTAGAAGCGATTATAGAGAGATCATTTCGCAGTTAGTCTCATCAATAGTTAGACAGGAAAGGAGGAGTTGGACTGCTGTAGTTACTAATACATAACATAATCCAAGCTTTATGTATCTGGTCTCCGTAGGAAATAGTGCTATATTGAATTGAACTAAATGTGAGTCCGTTTACCGTCTGGTATGCAGAATAATCATACATACATATATTCTTCTCACTGAATGCTATGAAACTGTAATTTTTACCTGCAATTTATTCAAGCCATAAGGGAGAGGGGATTCTAAACATGATAAGTAGTACCGGTAAGTCTACATCAGCTAACTAAAAACTGTACAAATCATTCAACAATGCGACAATATTACGTTTTAAATAGAAATTCAGAAAGCCATACTAGTTTTAAAGAATCGAAGTTAGTCAGTCAGGTATGAAGTGTTCATTATATTAAGATTAAGAAAACCATCCGAGTTTTATATATTAAATTTAATCGATTTGGGATGTTTAAAGTGCTCACTAGGTAGCGATGAAAAATGTAATACAAACATCTACTTACCGACACTAACTGAACTAATACAAACTATACGTAATGTAAAGGATAGCAGCTCTATGTAGAATGATCAAACATAAAATAATATTAAACTAAATAAAGGCATTATTTAACTATTTGAAAGACATCGGTCTATTTTATAGACTCTGATGTCTTTTAACCCACCTTACCCTTTTTTGACGATATATATATATATCGCATATTCCATATCATCTATTCGTTATCTCTTTTATTATTTTAACCTCCCTTTTTATTTTTTATTATCTACACATACAATGCGAATGCTTTTAAAATGACCCATTTTATCTGATTTTATCTTCGCTACTCACATGTTTGTTAAAAAAATAAAATAAATAAATAAATCACCATGGCCATAAATGACCACAGCCGTCGATGGGACGTTAAACATAAACAAACAAACAAACAAAGAAATGACAAACTCACTTTGAAGGTTAGCTTTCATACACATCAGTATTAAGTTTAGATCAAAAGTTACCTCAAGGTGCATTTACTGTTAACATGACTCGATCAAACAGATTAGAGAAAAGAAGGAAAAAGATCGAACTGACAAAGAACTAATGTGGATGGTACAAAGGTGGGCGCCAAGATCTCTCTGGGATCTCTTGTTTCTTAATAATATATATATTTTAAACTAATATCCTCGCTATTCATATGTTTGTAAAAAATATAAAATAAATAAATAAATTACCATGGCCTTAAATGACCACAGCCGTCGATGGGCCGTTAAACATAAACAAACAAACATCATAAACTAAATAGCAGTGATATACTGACGGACCAATGAATACATTCACAAATATACAAATAAAGACAAATACACATGTATCACATTTTTACCAGTGAAATGTCAGAAAAACATTTTATAATGAAAACGAATATATTTACTGTATCAAGAGATTTCATGACGTAATGACCTCTACCGATGGTATACTACGTAAGGACCTATACCGATGGTATACTACGTAAGGACCTATACCGATGGTACACTACGTAAGGTCCTATACCGATGGTATACTACGTAAGGACCCACACCGATGGTATACTACGTAAAGACCTATACCGATGGTACACTACGTAAGGTCCTATACCGATGGTATACTACGAAAGGACCTATACCGATGGTATACTACGTAAGGACCTATACCGATGGTACACTACGTAAGTTCCTATACCGATGGTACACTACGTAAGGACTTATATTGATAGTATACTACGTAAGGACTTATACAGATGTTATACTACGTAAGGACCTATACCGATGGTATTCTACGTAAGGACCTCTACCGATGGTATACTACATAAGGTCCTATACCGATGGTATACTACGTAAGGACCCACACCGATGGTGTACTACGTAAGGACCTATACCGATGGTATACTACGCAAGGACCTATACTGATGGTATACTACGTAAGGACCTATACTGATGGTATACTACGTAAGGACCTCTACCGATGGTATACTACGTAAGGACCTCTACCGATGGTATACTACGTAAGGACCTATACTGATGGTATACTACGTTAGGACCTATACCGATGGTATATTTCGTAAGGACCTATACCGATGGTATACTACGTTAGGACCTATACCGATGGTGTACTACGTACGGAACTATACCGATGGTATACTACGTAAGGACCCACACCAATGGTATACAACGTTAGGACCTATACCGATGGTATACTACGTTAGGACCTATACCGATGGTGTACTATGTAAGGACCTATACCGATGGCATACTACGTTAGGACCTATACCGCTGGTGTACTACGTACGGAACTATACCGCTGGTATACTACGTAAGGACCCACACCGATGGTATACAACGTTAGGACCTATACCGATGGCATACTACGTAAGGACCTCTACCGATGGTATACTACGTAAGGAGCCACACCAATGGTATACAACGTTAGGACCTATACCGATGGTGTAATACGTAAGGACCTATACCGATGGTATACTACGTTAGGACCTATACGGATGGTGTACTACGTTAGGACCTATACCGATGGTATACTACGTAAGGACCTATACTGATGGTGTACTACGTTATGACCTATACCGATGGTATACTACGTTAGGACCTATACCGATTGTATACCACGTAAGAAACTATACCGATGGTATACCACGTCAGAACCCACACCGTTGGCATACTACGTAAGGACCTCTACCGATGTTATACTACGTAAGGAACTATACCGATGGTATACCACGTAAGGACCCACACCAATGGTATACAACGTTAGGACCTATACCGATGTTGTACTACGTAAGGACCCACACGGACCTATACTGATGGTATACTACGTGCGGACCGATTCCGATTGTAATACTACGTAAGAACCTATTCCGATGGTATACTACGTGCGGACCGATTCCGATTGTAATACTACGTAAGAACCTATACCGATGGTATACTACGTAAGGACCTCTACCGATTGTATACTACGTAAGGTCCTATACCGATGGTATACCACGTAAGAACCCACACCGTTGGTATACTACGTAAGGACCTATAACGATGGTATACTACGTAAGGACCTCTACCGATGGTATACTACGTAAGGACCTATACCGATGGTATACTACGTTAGGACCTATACCGATGGTATACTACGTAAGGACCTATACCGATGGTGTACTACGTAAGGACCTATACCGATGGTATACTACGTTAGGACCTATACCGATGGTGTACTACGTAAGGACCTATACCGATGATATACTACGTTAGGACCTATACCGATTGTATACTACGAAAGGACCTATACTGATGGTGTACTACGAAAGGACCTATACCGATGGTGTACTACGTAAGGACCTATACCGATGGTATACTACGTAAGGACCTCTACCGATAGTATAGTCCGTAAGGACCTATACCGATGGTATACTACGAAAGGACTGGTATACTACGTACGGACCTATACCGATTGTATACTACGTAAGAACCTCTGCCGATGGTATACTACGTAAAGACCTATACCGATGGTATACTACGTAAGGACCTATACCGATGGTATACTACATAAAGACCTATACCGATGGTATTCTCCGTAAGGACCTCTACCGATGGTATACTACGCTAGGACCTATACCGATGGTGATGGTATACTACGTTAGGACCTCTACCGATGGTATACTACGCAAAGACCTATACCGATGGTATAGTACATAAGGACCTATACCGATGGTATCCTACGTACGGACCTATACCGATTGTTTACTACGTAAGAACCTCTACCGATTGTATACAATCGGTATAGGGCCGTACGTAGTATACCAGTCCTTTCGTAGTATACCATCGGTATCGGTCTTTACGTAGTATACCAACGGTGTGTGTTCTTACGTGGTATACCATCGGTATAGGACCTTACGTAGTATACCATCAGTATAGGTCCTTACGTAGCGGTATAGGTCCTTACGTAGTATACAATCGGCATAGGTCCGTACGTAGTATACCAACGGTGTAGGTTCTTACGTGGTATACAATCGGTATAGGTCCTAACGTAGTATACAATCGGTATATGTCCGTACGTAGTATTCCATCGGTATAGGTCCTCACGGAGAATACCATCGGTATAGGTCTTTATGTAGTATACCATCGGTATAGGACCTTACGTACTATACCATCGGTATAGGTCCTTTCGTAGCATACCATCGGTATAGGTCCTTGCGTAGTATACCATCGGTAGAGGTCCTTACGTACTATACCATCGGTATAGGTCATAACTTAGTATACCATCGGTATAGTTCCTCACGGAGTATACCATCGGGATAGGTCATAACTTAGTACGCCATCGGTATAGGTCCTTATGTACTATACCATCGGTATAGGTCCTAACGTAGTATACAATCGGTATATGTCCGTACGTAGTATTCCATCGGTATAGGTCCTCACGGAGAATACCATCGGTATAGGTCTTTATGTAGTATACCATCGGCAGAGGTTCTCTACGTAAGGACCTATACTGATGGTATACTACGTAAGGACCTATACCGATGGTGTACTAAGTTATGACCTATACCGATGGTATACTCCGTGAGGACCTATACCGATGGTATACTACGTAAGGACCTCTACCGATAGTATAGTACGTAAGGACCTATACCGATGGTATACTACGTACGGACCTATACTGATTGTATACTACGTAAGGACCTATACTGATGGTATACTACGTAAGGACCTCTACCGATGGTATACTATGTAAGAACCTCTGCCGATTGTATACTACGTAAGGTCCTATACCGATGGTATACCACGTAAGAACCTACACCGTTGGTATACTACGTAAGGACCTATACTGATGGTATACTACGTAAGGACCTCTACCGATGGTATACTACGT